ACACACACACACACACACACACACACATACACACACACACACACACACACACACACACAAGCCTGCGTCGACAAGACGAATTTGCCACCTCGAACCCTTAGAAGATCGCGATGTGTGTAGGCGTAAGGATCATAGTGGGTACAACTGAAGTTTGCTCTTTTCTGAGCAGAAAAGAAACCTACTCAAATCTGCACCCTCAGGGGATACTCACGCGAGGACTTTTGTTCTACCGAAGCTCTGGACGTGATTGTGGTCAGATTCATCCAGGTCTGCCCATAATTGCAGTTCGATACATTTAGCAAAGTATTAGTGTGGGAATGCCCTCAGCGTCGCCCCAAAAGAGCCAGAGACACACCCACCACCACTGCTGACCTTCCCTTTGCCTCGAGTAGCTCGGCTGCTGGTGGCGGACCTGGATGAACCTGGCCACAATTGCGTCTGGAGTGCTACAGCAGCCTCCAGTAGCTCGCCTGCTGGTGGCGTCAACATACTACCTCCACCTCTACGACTACAGATTTGGTTAATCGGCTTACGCTATTTCCCAAGCAACCAAATCTCGAACCAGATTTGGGGAATCCATCGACCACAACAGAGGGAAGCATTGTGTGATTTTTATTCGACGTAAGGGATGCTGACCCGGTTTCCAGCACATAATAATAATGCAAAAAGAAAAAAGAACCAAAAAAAAAACAAACAGGAAAAGGTGAAACTTGAGCGAATCCACAGAGACTGTTCAAATCTGGAATATCGAAAGGTGAAAACTGGTGACCGAACCAAAAAAAAAAAAGAAAAAAAAAAAAGAAAGGGACAGACTGTTCAAATTTGGAATATGGAAGGAAGTTAACAGAGAGTTAGTTCGTGAACCTCGCTGCAGTACTCACCGCATGCACAGAAGAAGAAAAATGTGGTGGTGTACTTTTCCAAGTTCTAGCAGAAGATTCATTGCCATTTTGCACATTTGGTGAGTAGTGGAGTGAGGCCCAAGAGGCGTAATGTCACTTTCCTTCCTAACGGAAGCAATCAATGCTGTGAGGATAGATCAGGAAGTAACGGGTTCCGCTGTGGTGAAAAAACAGGGGTGTTGAATGTGGTTAATTAAAAAAAAAAAGAAAAATAAGGAGGTGGAGCAGCGGTGAATCTTCCCAATCTACTCAAAAAAAAAAAAAAAAAAATAAAAAAAATCCTCTCAAGCTACTTAATTTTCTTTTTTTTGTTTTGCTGAGGCTGCCTGGAACCCTGCCCGGGGCCAAGGTCCCACTAGCAAGAAGGATAGGATCGAGCTCCTGAATCTGGATGTGTTTCATGCAGAGATGCAGAAAAGAAGTTCAATCTCGATTTCCTGCACATCTCCATAAACTCGTCCAGATTCAGGCATTCGATCCGATCCTCTTTGCTAGTGGCACCACGCCCCGGGGGTCATGCCCTGCCCGGCATCTGGGCACGTATCCGGGCATAAAGAGCATGAATTGGGTGCCCAGGTAGATCAGAAGTTTTTCTTTTTCTTTTTTTTTTTTCGGGCCTGGCCAGGCAAGTTGCCCAGGGCCACTCTGGTCGTAGTATGGATTCCGTACGTCTGGGCCTAAGCCCTCCTCTCTGTGCATGCACAGATTCGAACCGGCGGCCTCAGCCTCAAGAGCCAAGTCTCTTAACCACTACAGCCAGGACACGGAGTTCAAAAGTGGAATTGTATCGGTCGTGATATCCACCCCACCCCTGCAAGGATGTAGTGTCCAACTCAACACACACCACACACAACACCCACGGACACGGCAATTCTCGTACACTTCGCTCTGTAGTCAGTACGTAACCCCTGCTGATACTCTTACCCGCTCACACAGACGGGACTTACTTATCAATGCCCGCGGTTCACGGGCGCTTCCACAGTAGTAGCCTAGAAAAAAAAAACAAAAAAAAAACAAAGTTAATGTCAAGTTAACTTTTGGTTTTAGGTGTTGCTGTCTTGCTCCGTCAACTGTCGTAAAGCACACCTATGCAAAGTCCGTTTTTGTTTTTTTGTTTTTTTGTTTTTGGTGAAATGCGAGTTGTGATGAGAATGGAAGGTTGCAACCTGTGTTTGCTACTACTCTCTTTACCCAAAGAGAATGTACAGTCATTATAGCTGATGCATTTGGGCCAACCTTCAGTCTAGATTCGGTGATAATGACCATATATTCTCTGTTGGGGTGAGAAAAAAGACCGTTTGCGACGGACAACCTGTTGTGTGGCAGTTGCAGTTTGGTAGGTAAATATTCAATGGTTCCTTCTTCTTCTTCTTCTTCTTCTTCTTCTTCTTTTTTTTTTTTTTTTTTTTTTTKGTAAGGTGAAMAGTAGTTTTWTTAGGGCCCAGTGCCCAAGGCGAAAATACACCGTCAGAGAGCTGCAAATTCGGGGGTTGCAAGGCCTCCGATCCCAGTTCATTCGGTGGAGCCCCTCCCCTGTCGAAAACCACCATCTACAATTACCCCCCCCCCCCCCCCCSCCCCCACCCCCCMCCCCAAAAAAAAAAGAAAAAAAAAAGAAAAGAAAAAAAGAAAAGAAAAGAAAAAAGTTTGTTTCACTCACACTTGCAATTTTGTCATCGGGTTGTGCTTTGATGTGCTGCTTGTGCTTTTTCTTGTGCAGTTATTCAGTTCGAAGCGCGTTAACGACGCCATGGAATTATGATGCTTGTTGCTGTCAGAAGATGGTGGGATAGAGGTGGTCTCCCCACATGCAATCTGTGTCTGGTTCACAAACCATGGGCCTCGCTGCATTACTAGACATGCGACATGCATCTAGAGCTGGTTATGATGTAGATACATAAAAAATGTTGGACTGATCTGAATGTATCGGGTCCATGATCTCGTGCAGATATTTGCCTTATGTTGATCAGTGGAGCGAGGCCCCCTATTACATGTGGTGGAGATTCTGTGTAGCATGCACTCGCTGTACTACTGACGGTGATTTTGGGCAGATGGAATCGGGAGCATTACGCACATAATCCATGTTCATTGAGAGCATTGGGAGGTACAAAAGGTGCAAGTTTTTTGGTTTGGGGGGGAAGGGGGGGGAGGGGGGAGGAGGATGATTTTGAGGGTTTGTGAGTAATAAATAATCAGCATTGAGCAAAATCTTTGAATGAGCAAACGCATTGCTCATTGCTATCAGCGTAACCGCCGGCCGGTTCCCCACGCAGACACCAAAAAACTTGAAAAAAAGGAAAAAAAAAGGAAAGGGAAGAGTGGGCCGAATAGACAATTGGGATGTGCATGCCAGGTTGGCCACGCTAAACCCCAAACAAAAAGGAGGAAAAAACAAAAAAGGAAAGGGAAGAGTGTGGCTGATAAGACAATGGGGATGGGCATTGGGCATGCTAGGAGGCACCACTGGCTCTCCGCTCCACTTTTCCCTCGAATAGCAGTAGGCTTGGTTGTTGTTGGTATATTGCTCACAGGATGGTCATTGTACATATAGGGTAAAGGGTATATAGCAGTAATAATAGCTCTATAATATAATATAATAATGCCATGTGTTCTGTTCTTTTTTTTATTTTTATTTTATAAAACTATACTCTTCTCTCAATTTTCCTCACACTACCTACCTACCACTACTCCCATACGGGGAAACCCGTAGAAAGGCCGACCGAATCAGCAATGAAGAGACTGTAGAAAACTAAAAAAAAAACAAGAAAATTGTTGCAAATGCTGAGGATTCATACACCTGTCTTCTGAGGTGTTTTTGAAATTGGACATCTCAAAAGGGAACCATACGTGAGACTTTTGCCTCATATGGCTCTTCTCAGAATCCATATTGATATTTGCTCTTTCTTATGGTATGGATTTAATTCAAATGTTTCTGTAACCTAAGACTCCAGTAAATTAGGTCACCATGGAATGGACTCTTGGTGGAACGGACCACTTCGTGTTAGGTATCTGGATTGCATTCCACACCAGATACATTCGGACAGATTGAGCATTTCAAATGTATATTGGGACAAAAGATGTTGTCCAGGTACACACGGCGGCGCGAAATGATCCTCCTCTCTCTGCTGTGCAGATGTACCCATTTGCCAAAGAGTACATGTGCTTCTGTTGTGGTACAACAGTTTTCTGGTTCCCCACCCCCTCAAAAAAGAAAACAACCCAATAAAATAAAACATTCTGATTAGGTAGGAAAGTTCTCCTCTCTTTTGTTTTGCGATGAAGTTCCTTTTAGAAAAATGAAGTACATGTTTTTTTTTTTTTTTTTTCTTAGTATATATTTTGTTGTGCTATGTCAGACACGTTTTCTGTTGATTGCCCCCTTGCATAAAATGCTACCGACTGTCCCTCCCCCCCCCCCCACCCCCCCACCCCTCTTCATCACCATAAAGTCCGGAAGCCTTTGCTTGATGAGTGTGGATGATAATAAATTAATAAATTAATAATAGTATACATTTTTCTTTTTCTTTTTCTTTTTGTAAGCCGACGTTGCGATGGAGGTTGGATGTGGGACCTCAGGGGATTGACTGTATAGATTTTGTCAAAGAGGTGGAAGGAAGGAATTTGCGTTGATGTGCCAGATCGTGTGAGTGTGTGCCGCCTACTACGCAGAAAGGCAGGAGGTACGTGTGCACGCATGCACACAGGCATTCGTGCAAGCAGGCAGGCAGCCACACACTCACATGCAGCGCCACGCAAGCACACGTACAGACGACAAGCGAAGAAACTTGTGCCGCCTCGTCGCAGTCACATGAAAGAAAGAATGCAGGAAAAAAAAGCCAAAGCAAGGGGAGCGAAGAATGGACTGGACAAGAAAAGGCAATATAACGGTTTGTTATAGAGGTAAGGCTGTTTCAATATTGCATCTGCTACACCACACACACACACACACACACACACACACACACACACACGCACACACACACACACACGCACACGCACACACACACACACACACACACACACACACAGAGGCATACTGAAATGGGGAGCTGCAAGATCAAATTAAAAAAGGGGTACCCTAAAGTAAATATTCAACGGAGCTTTTGCCGCATATTGCTCGCTACAGAGGGAAAACTGTTTCATAGTTGGATTGGTTCATCTCAAGTATGTTTGTTTCATTGTCTGCAATAGAGGTGAAGTTGCTTTGATTTTGGATCTACTCATCTAGGTGCAACAGGGGCTGTTGTGGTGCAAATCTATAAAACACACACAGATATCCTTCAGGCCCCTTAACCCTATCGTTGCAGCTGCTGCTTAAAGTGTGCCCCACCCCCAACCAGCATTACCACCACCCTCTTCACCTGCATCTTCTACTACGTCATCCTCTACGTCAACTGCCTCCTCTTCTCCCTTCTCCTCTTCCTCCCACCCCTCATAGTCATCCACCTTCTCCTCCTCCTCCTCCTCCTCGAAAACAACACATGCACGGTCTGATTGGCCATCACGGATGCCTTTTTGGCAGAGGCACTCCCCATCTGCACCCCTGCGGTCTCGTTAATAAGTGAACAGCATGATCATCACGCCCTTGGCGGGAGTCAGAGATATCTACTCGGACAACATGTCCACAACCGTGCAGAATGATGGCGTCGCTCCCAATGCATGTGTGCCAGAGGATAGTACATACCGAGTTTGGGGCCCACGATGGGGTGCTGATTTTTACAGTGCTGCAGACCTGTGTGTGCACCAGACATGAAATGCAACTGCCGGTGCCGCATTTGCACGACTAGCAGACAAGTGCTGCTGAACAGCTCTTCTACTTCTAGCCCGCCTCGCCTTGATTGCTCCCCCCACTCTGATCGACAATGATCTACCCTCTCTGGTCATTCGATAAAGCCCCCGATTGGAGATTCTCTCTCTCTCTCTCTCTCTGTGGGACGCATGCTAAGAGCCAATGGAGTGAATACAGCGAGGGGAGCCTGACAGAGGCTCGTAAGACCGAAATGAATGCCCTTCTGCCGCACATCGTACTCGTGTACAGCACGCTGACAGAGCATGTCCTACTTAAACCACCAGTGCCCTGCCCCAGCCTTGCTGAAAAAAAACTTGTCGCATACTCTGAAAAGCTTGGGGCTTTTCGGGGACAGGGCAACCGGATGGAAATGGCTGCCGCGGACAGCCAAAACGAACAGAAAAACGTTGTTGTGTGGGGACTTCAGCAGATTTTGGTGCTCAGGGGGCGTGTCGGTGCAGCGAAACAGCCCCGGCCCCGGGTGTAACACCTGGGTGGTTTAAAGAGGGGCTGGCATGGCAGTGCCTATTACTGGGGATAATTGGTAGAAAGCGCCCACACCAAAACCTTTTCGGTTTTGGACACCCAAAACTTGGCCGTTTGGTACTACCGGCCCGATGATTTCGATGTGGGGTACTACAGGCCCACGCGTAGCTCCAAGGGCCCTACCGGATCATGAATCTGGCATATAACAGCGCCCGATTCGTTTTGATGCAAAAGAGGCCGAGGGTGGTACCGCTAAAATACAGAATGAGGCCCATGTACGGTATTTTGAAAAAGAAGGGCCCTACCGGCTCATGAATCTGGTGCAAAAACAGTGCCAAATTCTTGAACCGGTAAAAACAGGCCCTGGGAGATTTGGCCACGGTGCGAAGGTACCTTTCGCCCAGGCCGAAGATGTTTGGGCCAGTAGTACCAAACGCCCGAGTTTCGGGCACCCAAAACTGAAAAGGTTTTGGCGTGGGCTCTTTCTATCAATTATCCCCTAGTACTGCCTATACCATGCACTTGGCCTGCCTCTTTGTTCCCCTACAGTCTTCCCCCGAATACAACGTACGGTCATTATAACCGAATTTAGACGGAAAGATAGACGAAATTCAGCTATAATGACCGTACGTTGTATTCGGGGGAAGACTGTCGCATATGGGAGCCATGTTGCCTGTGACAACTGTCAGTCTACACCGCGCCATTCAATGGAGCAACTGTAACTGCAAAAATCGGATGCGGTACTTCCTCCTGAGTCCACACCAGAAAGAACTGGGCCTGTCTGGTTCCGGCAGAGGTGGTCACTTAGCGATAGGCGTTGTCTACTTCTCAACTCGATTGTCTCTGAGCAACCCCAACACTGACTAGCCTCTTGTGCCATTCTCTAGCGCTTGCTCTGCCAGTGAGTATTGAGTATCCTACGAGGCACAACTTTCCCCTAATCTGTTCCTACCTCCCTCCACTCTCCTCCTGCCCCTTACCCTCCCCTCCCTCCCCCCCCCCCCCCCCCCCCCCCCCCCCCCCCCCCCCCCCCCCCCCCCCCCCCCCCCCCYCCCCCTGGGGCGCACCCCCTCTCCCTGCCCTTCCCCTTCGCGGAACTACAGCCATTTTTATGTGATGGGACTTGCATGCTGCCGCAAGCTTCGGGGCTCAGCCGCCAGAGCAAACTGGATAGCGGTGCCAGCCAAAACGAGGCCCGCGCCGGTTCGTGTATTTTTGGCACACATCTCGTTTGGAGCCCCGTGCAAAACTGGGTCGAAAGTAAGCAAACAGGTCCGCGAAGTACGCAACTGTGGTTGACCTTGAACCTCTTAGTAAGAGAATGCACATGAGAGAAGTTGCGGGTCTGCGGAAAAGCAAACAAAGTTGCGGGTGTGCGGAAAAGCAAACAAAGTTGCGGGTGTGCGGAAAAGCAAACAAAGTTGCGGGTGTGCGGAAAAGCAAACAGGTCTGCAAAGTATGCAGACGTGGTCGACCTCGAACCTCTCAGAAGGTACAACCATGAAAAAATGACCATTTCATCTCAACAGCACAACTATCAGAACATTGCACAGATACGCATCGTGCAGATGTCCTAAAACGGAAAGAGGTCGGATTCTGCGATGTACACAGACGCGGTGGACCGTGAACCTGTCAGAAAATGCAGCAACGAAATGGCCATTTCATTTCAACAGCACAATAATGATCAAAGCATTGCAATCATTTATGAAGGATTGTAAGGCACGTCTGTTTTGAATTTGGCTTTCCCTTGGAGGCCTTGTCTGAGTGGAAACGGGGTTGGTGTGTTGTGGCGAGGGTTCAAGTAACACATACATGCGTACGTACACAGTATTACACACAAACAGACTCTTTCTCTTCTGTAAATGACGAAAAGAACTAGTATTCTGAAAACGTACGCAAGAAAAGAGGGCTTTCCTGGATGTCTATGTCTGCAGGAATGTATTGCCTTTTTCCAAGGAGATGTCTGTACTTCTCAGGGGTGCTTAATAACCTATGTGCTTTGAAATTGCCTTTTTCCCAGCACATCCTGTGCTATAGACTTTAAGATGACGAGCTCGACTATGTTGTGATTGATCCCTCTTTGGTTTGTCGACTTCCCATGATGGTCTCCCTCGAAAACACTGTGGATTACCGCCTCTGCTTTCCCCCATCTTGTCTTCCTTCTCTCGTCTATATAGCTGTCCCTCACTCCTTTTGGGGGAATGGTCACTCTCTACATGAAGTATTTTCGGTATGAATAGAGTGGAACGGTAGGGGTTGTGTGGAATTTTGCATGGGTTGGTACGCCAGTTAATCTATGTCGGATTGTCTGAATCCATAGCAACCATGGTTCATCCATTTTAAACGCAGCTCGCTGCATAATGCAGTGGATTCATCTCACATCGAACACACACACACACACACACACACACACACACACACACACACACACACACAGTCACGTACCGTAAAGCTGCAGACCAGAACAAGAACCAACCTCTCTCACATAGTACATGATAGCGCAGCGGAAGGCTAATGTATCAATGATCCGAACAATCAATGTTACAATGCAGACCAAACATGCATCATCATCATTCCATGGTGTGAAGGGCCCTGGCGCTCACACAGGAAGAATGCGCCAGTCCCCAACCATACACAGACGAAGAAGAGGGGGGTTAGACGAAGAAGAGGTGAAGATGGGAATGTCGTCAACAC